GGCTACACGTACCACTGGACCTCAGACTACAATATAATACACAGGACACTGGAATAGAAGTTTTACTTTAAGATGTAACCCCTACCACCAAGGTTATATTGTATACATCCCGGTGATGGTTACACATAGGGTACAGAGGTTAGGCCAAGATAAGCTGGGTTTCATGAATTCTGACTGCATATCGTGTCGAGGTATTTGTGAGTGACTCTTGGGGTTTGTGCCACCTCACAAGCCGACATCGTTTTGCCTGCCTCTGTGACAGCAAATACTGACGTTTGGAAACTCATTCAAAATCCAAGAAAATGATTGAGTTGACTGATGCCTTCACGGGATATCTTTAGCTACCAATCCCCCTCATCTCTCAGACTTTCTGAAGAATTTAATGACCAATTTTTAAAGTATGATTTCCTCCTCCTCCTACTCTTAATTTAAATGCTACTATTACTACTACAACTTCCATTACCACTATTTCAACTAATATTTCACGCAGGTCAGGGACCGATTCAACAACTTCATCACGTTCCTACCTACGGCCGCCCTACTTACAGGTCTCCCAAAATTATCAAGCCTATCCAGATTCAGAAGCAGTTTTATACATTGCCAAGTATCACAAGGTAATATTTCGCTGCCCTTGTTATCTTCGGCCAATGCTTATATACGTATGGAAGTTGGAATTTTTAATAACCCAATACAACACAGTGAATAAGACAGAGGAGTTACTGTAATAAGGACAGCTGCTCAGTTACGACCAGCAAGATTCAAATGACAACAAAGGGTAATACTGTAGTTAAATTATGTTAATAAGTAAGGACAGGGAGAGATAGTGAGGACAGGAGACAAGGAGAGGTTCCAGGGAGATTGGCAGAGCCCGCGAGATAGCGTGGGCAAGACTGGAGAACCTTCCAGCACATTTCCTGCGCTGTGGTGTGGCCTTCTTGCTACCCATAATGAGTCAGCGTTATCATCCCACCACACACAAACCTCACCCTCACAATGCTCTGGTCATACTAATGAATTAATGATCCTACTGCCACGATATGACTATCTACTCATTTACTTATTATTTGTTTACTTATTTACTCATCTACTTAATGTCTACTTATTTACTCATCTTATTGTCTACGTAATTACTCATCTACTTATTGTCTACGTAATTACTCATCTACTTATTGTCTACGTAATTACTCATCTACTTATTGTCTACGTAATTACTCATCTACTTATTGTCTACTTATTTACTCATCCATTTATTACTTTACTTATTTACTCATCTACTTCTTATTCATCTATTTACTATTCATCTACTTGAGTTTAAATGTCCAGACTTTTAGAGATCTGTCGTCTGTTACGAATACCACCTACTGAGAGAATTTAGCGATTTCTCACTATATTTCACCAAGAGATATTGAATGATAGTGGTGAATGAATCAGACCCCGCTGTGCCTTATGCTACCTATCCCAGATGTTGCTGATATGACTGTGTGCCTCATTTACACATCGTTTCTCACTTTTATTTTATTTTTTCCAGTTCTGTATTTATTTACGGTACTTTTTTTTTTGCTCCCTTGGCCCGATGTGGGTTGGTGACCTGTGTCCGGGTAGGCTAATACTCGAAAAAAAGATATAAAACAATTTAATTATAAAAAACTTAACACCAACGAACAACTGTATAATTATGTAAATAAAACTTGACATATAGGATTCATTAACGATTAACTCCTTTCAACAAGAGTATCCCAAGAGAACACTGAATCAAGGGTTAAGATATCTGATATGGTAGCCCCTTCATAAGTTAACTCCTTGAGTACAATAACCTAGTTTATTGAGTACTCGGAGAGAGGGGGGTCAGGTTAACACACACAAGGGCATGATACAAGAGACGTGATGCACAGTATTGTATTATGGTGCAGGGAAGAAAGTTTAAGTCATCCAGCAACAGCAGCCAGAAACAGCGTGGGGCAGCCTTCCCCAAGGTGGTGAGCCACACCTGCCAGGTCTGCCTGGGATCGCTATTCACTACCCACCCGTTTCCACAATCGGGTCACACTATTACTGCTAAAAACAACATAAAAGTATATCCCACCGTCTGAGCGTAATGTAAAACCCGTTCACCACTGAATGGTATACTATTTACCCATTCACAAACATTCTCTACCCCAGTAAACAGTTTTAAAGTGCGACAAACAAAGGACCCGGGTGCTTCCTGGGCGGAGGGACCACGGTCGATAGTCCCGGGACGGTCATGGTGACGCGGCAACAATCCCAGTACAAGTGATAAGTTTTCTCACACCGGCATATGATGACTCATGAAAGACTTCCTTCTTTCCATATAGTTTTTAATGCTGAATACATTGGTGATATTGAAACTTTTCTCAAGAAATAACTATTATCACCATAATAAGTATCAAAACTGTACTACAAACAGTCCTAGTTATGGGCTCATGAATCGGTGTTTCCGGAATCTGTACTATATTAAATACTCTTATGTCATTTTTACTGGGGACACGACACGATTTAGGCGAGTCTGTCTGTGATTTCATCGATATTGCCCGCCATCTTTAAGTTGTTTCTTCTGCGACCTAATATCTCCGTCAATTTTGTATTTCATAATGTATCTATGTGGCTTACTGAGGTAACGACAAGGAAATAAAAGCTTAAATGATGTGATAACTTTACGAATTCTTCAAGCTAACTTAAGGCAGTTCACGACACAAACCCTCGAGAATTCCGACTGTGGGCTGTTACTCCACGGTACCAGCACATATTCAAGCAGCAGTTAATATCCTTAGTCATCAACCTAAGATTGTCAGCATCCTTAATCATTTTGCTGTGGATTGGTAAGCTTCCTAATAATAGTCGGCAATTTTTTACGCTTGCGTTTGGTAAAATCGTCATGCAATTTCACACAGATTCAACATGTACACAGACGGAGCAGGTATACTGTACAATGTACAGTGCAGGTATACAATGTACATAGACAATGCAGGTATACAATGTACATAGACAGTGAAGGTATACAATGTACATAGACAGTGCAGGTATACAATGTACAAAGACAGTACAGGTATACAATGTACATAGACAGCAGGTAACAATGTACACAGCAGGTATACAATGTACAGTGCAGGTATAAAATATAAATAGACAGTACAGGTATACAATGTGTACATAAACAGTACAGGTATACAACGTGTACATAGAAAGTGCAGGTACACAATGTACATAGACAGTGTAGGTATACAATGTACAATCAAAGACGAAAGTCGTGTCTCGGTTTTGTCCCAAGATTAAATATAACTCGTGAAACATTATGAGAGCCCCCTACCACAAGGCGGAGCGCACCAAAGTTTAGACCTTTGGCATATATTTTCACCAAATTTCACGACACGACTTTTATCTTTCATTGCACATATTGCAGGTATACAATGTACACAGTGCAGGTATACAATGTACACAGTGCAAGTATACAATATACATAGACATGTTTTTGTAACGTATTATCTACAAGCAGTTCACCAGATAAGCAAGTCAAGGTTGCCTATATTTTTCACAGGATACATTTGGGATACGTTTGTTATCACACCTTGAAGGTTAGACACCCAGCTTATTTCACCTGATGATTAAACACCCTAATGGTAACCTAACCCAGTCTCCAGGTAGCATTGGGTTGTTTAATAAGCAGGTGAAATAAGCTGCGTGCCTAATCTTTAGGTGATCCAAATTCTAAGTAACATTTCTTTCTCCTACAAGATGTTAAGAGAAGGTTAAATTCCCTGTGTAAATAAATTGTAATACAGCTTCCCAAAGGCTATCTTAAGGCAAGCCCAAATAAAAAAAATCTAAATAACATCAAAATTACATTACAACCACCACCATAACTCAAACCGACAGTGTTTGCGACTCGCCATAACTTATGTTTCTCAGTGATCCCCTGATATAGTCAACAATTTCCGAGTCACGAGCAATGGTGAAAAACAGCGGCCTGAGCCATGAAACTAGTCAATAACATCACAGCCAATAGTGATACTATCACCTAGGCACCTGAGAACCTATTAATCTATTTGTGGCTTTACTAAGCTTTCTGACAACATAAATCATTAACCATCCAGGGTCAACACAACAAGGTGGTGGGGACCATTTGAGAATAATTTCGTCATGTTACACCACACAGTGACACACACCTACTGTACAGTGATTGTTGTCCTGGGAACTTATTGGAGATTAGTTTCACGTTACACCACATGGTGACATCTACAATGACCATGGCCCTAAGAGCTTATAATGAACCACTTTCCCATACATCAGCTGAATTGGTTAACTTGCCCGATGTCCAAACCAAAATGAAAAAAAAGTGGCTTATCAAGATACTGTATATTATAACTCATCACAGTGAATGTGTTGATTATGGGAGGTGACATTATCTGATAACTGGCCGGCCAGTACCGTACAGTATCTGTCACTACACTACCCTTCAAGACATCCCCACCGTTTTGGTTAGCTATTTCAACATGACTGATCATCTGCATTAATAACCCCAAGGAAGCCAAAAGTGGGCGAAGCTTAATCCTTCTTCCTCAAGATCTTCACTTGGAATTACCCCTTAACCCCCTAAGTAAATTGTAAAATTAATTTCATTAATAACAAGACTTGTTTAAAAGTTCCAACTATGCTGTCCATTTTATCATCATTACTGTTTTACGGGCATTTCGATGCTTGCATGGGCTAGCCACAATTATCTGATGGCAGCTCTCCCTGCTGCACAGTACTCTTGCAGCCTCTCGCATCAAATTCTTATATCTGCCGTTATTAGTTATAACCTCTCCCCACGTCTTTTTTGGCCTCCCCCAAGCTCTCCTCTCCTCCCCTCCACATTCAAACACATGCACCTCTTGACCCAACTGGTCTCATCCATTCACTCCACATGCCCAAACCATCTCAAATAAGTACAGTAAATAGACAAACAAATAATAAAATAATTAATAGGTTCTACCTACACTTACCTGGCTTGGGTTTGATGGTAGTGGCTCGCTCATGGGGTGAGGCCTTGGGAAACAGGGTGTCAAGCTCCTGTGGCACATTTCCCTGAAGATATATGAAAAAATAAAATGCTGTACATTACAGTACAGTACTTTGAAATTTACAAGAACTTGCTGAAAGTGAAGTAAATATCAAAGAATGTTCAACACAGGTACAAATAATTTTTTTTCTTCACTAATGTGAAAACCTGATCGTGAACTTCATCCCCCCAGACTAGTGCATGAGTGGCCAAGTGAATGAGTGACCAAGTGAATGAGTGACCAAGTGAATAAGCATGTGACCAAGTGAATGAGTGAGTGACAAAGTGAATAAGCATATGACCAAGTGAATGAGTGAGTGACCAAGTGAATAAGCATATGACCAAGTGAATGAGTGAGTGACCAAGTGAATGAGTCAGTAACCAAATGAATGAGTCAGTGACCAAGTGAATGAGTGAGTGACCAAGTGAATAAGCATATGACCAAGTGAATGAGTGAGTGACCAAGTGAATAAGCATATGACCAAGTGAATGAGTGAGTGACCAAGTGAATGAGTCAGTAACCAAGTGAATGAGTCAGTGACCAAGTGAATGAGTGAGTGACAAGTGAATAAGCATATGACCAAGTGAATGAGTGAGTGACCAAGTGAATAAGCATATGACCAAGTGAATGAGTGAGTGACCAAGTGAATGAGTCAGTAACCAAGTGAATGAGTCAGTGACCAAGTGAATGAGTGAGTGACCAAGTGAATAAGCAAGTGACCAAGTGAATGAGTGAGTGACCAAGTGAATAAGCATATGACCAAGTGAATGAGTGAGTGACCAAGTGAATGAGTCAGTGACCCAAGTGAATGAGTGACCAAGTGAATGAGTGAGTGACCAAGTGAATAAGCATGTGACCAAGTGAATGAGTGAGTGACCAAGTGACCAAGAATGAGTGAGTGACCAAGTGAATGAGTCAGTGACCAAGTGAATGAGTGACCAAGTGAATGAGTGAGTGACCAAGTGAATGAGTCAGTGACCAAGTGAATAAGCATATGACCAAGTGAATGAGTGAGTGACCAAGTGAATGAGTCAGTGACCAAGTGAATGAGTGAGTGACCAAGTGAATAAGCATATGACCAAGTGAATGAGTGAGTGACCAAGTGAATAAGCATATGACCAAGTGAATGAGTGAGTGACCAAGTGAATAAGCATATGACCAAGTGAATGAGTGAGTGACCAAGTGAATGAGTCAGTAACCAAGTGAATGAGTCAGTGACCAAGTGAATGAGTCAGTGACCAAGTGAATAAGCATATGACCAAGTGAATGAGTGAGTGACCAAGTGAATAAGCATATGACCAAGTGAATGAGTGAGTGACCAAGTGAATAAACATATGACCAATAGAATGAGTGAGTGACCAAGTGAATAATGTACGAATCATTAGCGGCACCAGTTAAAATCCAAGGTGAGACACAAGAACCTACAGGGAGGTCCCATGATTCCTCAAGCCTCCTCCCCTCTTCTTGTCCTAATGTCATAAATGCAGTCAACAAAAATTAGACAAGAAAGTTTACTCTGCCACAAGGATAAGGACATTGATGTTATAATGCTATCACTGCACTTCAACACCAACCTTCTTTAAGAGCTTAACTTACATTAGTCCATGATCAATTTTAACTTAAGGGAAATAAAGATCTCAGTGAATCTTGGTAGAAGATTAGTTATTGCAGAATCACCAACCCACATCACTTTCAAGAAATTAAGTCACAGATCAAGATGAAATTATGTCAGACCAGGTAACTAGTTCTGTTGCGGTACAGTTTAGTCTGTCTCGTTACTCATGTTTACTCAGTCAATTGAAACAAATGAAGTAATATCGTCAGGGTTTATATGAGATGATCCGTTGATATATTCATAGGGATTGTGTGAGGAATGAGCACCTCAGCATATTTCACCTGATGATCACAACACCCTATTGCCACCTGGTGCATTAGGTTAGGTTAGACTTAAGACATTTAGTCATCAGGTGAAACAACGTGAGGCACCTAATCTTGATGTGATACCTTTTTGATCCAGAAGACAATACCTCTGAGATACCGTATTTACTATTAATAATGGCGGATGAACAACACCAACCTCATCTAACAATCTAAGGATACTTTTGCATTGGATTAGGTTAGGTTAGACAGGGTTGGTATAGGTGAGGTTGGTTCAGGTCACCTGTTGTCAGAAGAAAAGTCTTACCATTCAACTTCACTGCCCTAAGTCCATTGACAAAACCTCGAATGCTTAGCATGGAGATTTATAATGTCACACTAAAAAAATAAAGAAACTCACACTCACTTTTTCCTATCTCCCTCACTGGATTTGCACATTGTGTATTACAACAATAAAATCAGTAAACTTTTTTTTAAGAATATAACAATACATTGGCAACATTCTCCTTAACCTTAACATAGGGGCCATGTTTAATGACAGGGAAGCAAAATACTGCTCCAAAATATAAATTCCATCATATTAAGAAGAACATCACACAGATACCTTTTAGTATGATTTGACATGGAAACATTTCTAACAATACATAATACTATACAACCCATTTAATCTGACATACAGTACTAAGATAAGCAATGTGGTCTTAATATTCAATCAGTTCATCCCATACTGTATTTCATAGATTACAAATATCCATGAATTGCACACCAGGTGGTTATATGAAACAATAAGTGTAATCTTGAGAAAATGTGGTAATGATCTCCACATTAAGAACCTCACTTCTGTCAACAAAGCTCAAGTCTGGGGGGAGTAGAAATCAGTTAACAGAACAAGCCAGCTAAACTTAATCTCATGTCTAGAATACCTATACCTATACTCTATGTACAGAGTATAGTTTTAATAAACAAAATTCCACTAAGGTTTTCACCAATATATTTTCTCTAATGCAGAGAATGTAAATCCTACGTAGGGGCATGGGAGAATCTTTTAAACTTAATTTTAAGAGTTGAAATTAAACCACTACCTGTATACAGTACTCTATCCTTTTTAGAAAATGAAAAGAAAACCCAATGTTAAGTTGGGCCTGATTTAAGCATGAACATGAACACACCAATGAGCATTACTAAACTTTTGTAAGTTTTTGTTAAAATCAGACATAGTTCAGTGATAATTTATAATCATCATCCAGTGCATGACTAATATGCAGAGACATGTCTAACTACCACTTCACAGTGGTTAAGACTCTGAAGAAAAAGTCATCATTAACATTGCTGAGACACTAAATATTTCACGCAATCTTTTTTCCTTGTTACTGGATACCTACAAATTTGAAGGTACAGTAATAACCAAATTTTATTCTATTTGAAAACGGGTCAGCTGAATAGTTGGCCCCCATGTATGTAGTAAGCTATGCTAATACTTGCCCAGAGTGATCCGGCCTTAGCACTCGAGGAAATTTTTTCTATAGGTGGTAGAAGCTCTCTCTCTCTCTCACATTAAGAAAAGAAAAAAGTACACAAGGAATGGGTTTTGCATAATATCACTTTTTACAGCTATCACTAGAGAGACCAACTGCCCCAAGCAGCTAGTAAGCTGATAAGTTGGGAAATGATAAATAATAACAAAACCTTGCCATGCATGCCATGCTTAGACTGCAGGGATATACAGTATACATATACATATCTTTTTTGCCAGAAATGGCTTTTATTTAATTTTAAAAGAATAAAATAGAAAATTACTGTCCACTACTATTTTAGCTTAAGTTTGGTAGGTTAATTTTCTTAATTTTATAAATGATAAATTATTGAACGTAATGGTGTCTTAAAAAAAAGGTGCTATTATAGTGTGTGATCTACAAGATATTTAGCTTAAGTAAGCTTATGTTAGGTTAGGTCAGGTTAGATTAGATTAAGTTAGGTAAGGTTAGGTTACGTCAGGTTAGGTTAAGTTAGGTCAGGTTAGGTTAAACTAAAGATATCCTTGTAGACTGCATACTGTAGTAGCACCAAAAAAGTATGTTATTTTATCTTAAAAGAATAACAGAAAATACTATAACTGTAGTATCTTAGGTTAGGTTAGGTAAGTAAATTTTCTTTATTTCATAAATACTAAATTATAGATTATAGCGAACCAACCCTCGACCTCAAAAAGTAAACCGGGGAAAAGTGACAGCTCCCTCAGATATAGGAAAACAAAATACTGTATCGTAAAAGTGATATTATGCAAAACGTACACCAACCATTTTTTTTATTGCGGTAAAAAGTTTTATCTATGGAAAAATTTCCCCAAGATGGTGGTATGGCTCAACCATTCTCGTCAAGTATTACTTAAATATTACCACAAAAGTAGGTTTCATTGGTTCATGTTGCCTGTGAAAATTATTACATTCAACTAGGACGATAGTCTGTTTTATGCTATTTAACGTAACATAATCTAACCTAACCTGTTTTATGCTATTTAACACACAGTAGTGGTAATAAAGGAAATGAAACACATGATTTCTGTGGATGTCAACCCTATCTTACATGATACTGCCCTGTGTGACCCAATAGCAATTCACCATTTTAGTCGCTATCACTACAAATATGACCATATATCTAGTACAAGACTTCTGTTGCTCTCTTACCTCTAATATCAATTGTTTTCGTATAATATTATCATCAATTTCAAGCAGAGTAGTACTTTTGCTCTCGTCTTCCATGATCTCAAAGGAACATATAAAATTTTCCGAACTTGAAAGAGAAATATCGATCTAATATGAATTAATGTTGAATGTAAAATTACTTAAAAGTGAATAATTATATCTTCTAAGAATTATTTATTGCATTAATTTCATCAGAAGCTTTGAAAAAAAAAATTAAAACAGAGAATATAGATTTTAAAGGTATTTGCCCTTTAGTTGTGTGTTTATATCTGACGTCATATAAACGTCATAAATCTATAAAGACGTCATACTAGATCTGTGACGTCATAACCAAGGGGCGGAGTTGGTCGTGAGTCAACGTAAATATCTCGTCTCAAGATCTGGCAACTCAGTTGAGTCAGTATGTCGGACGGTGGGGGGTTGGATGCGTTTTGTAACTCAACTTTTTGGGTATGTTTGAGCTTTTATTGAACTGGAGCCAATTTTGGTGTTTCGAATACCTATGGAAAATTGTATTGTGAAGCGAAAAGAAATGTTAATTGGTGCAAAAGGTCCCAAGAGAGATGATACAGTGGAATTTGTGGGAAAACGGGTGATCTCGTGCCGCAAGCTCTAATATAAGTTTGTTTTGGTATGAAGGAACGTCACGTGAAGTACTACACCAGCCAGCAACACGTCCTCGTCGCCATGTAGTCCATTCGCCGCCCAAACTTCCCTTCTCACTTAAAATTTACTCACAGGCTGTGGATTTTAAGGATGTGGAGGATGGGTTAATGACCCGGGCAACGTTGTGACTGAAAGATGCTGTGCAGTTAATAATGCATGATTATTGATATTACAAATTAGAACTGTACTGTTATGTGATTTTCTGTAAGGATAAATAATGAACTTAAGATAAATATTTTCTCGAGAAAGAAGTGTTATTTGATGTTGATACAGTGGTTCAGCTACACTCTCCTTAGTCCAATTTTCTCCAGTGTCCATATTATTTAACAATTTCAAAACGGGGTGTTCAGTGTGCACAGGCCAGACACCTCAGCCCTTAAATTCTTGACCATGAAATGTAATTTTGTATTTAACGGGCATAACGGGCAACTGCTAATATTTTGGAAGTACCAAATACTTATACTCTACATCTTTTATCTTGTTAAAAAATCATTTCGATGAAATGAACAGACGAATCCAATCTCAAACGAACATGGCGGGCAGATGAATTGAAGCCCGTGAAATACTGTAGATTATCTTATTTTTTGTGAATATGTGGAATATTAGAATGTTCAAAAATTTATGAGAAGGGGTTAGAAGAGGGTTAGATGGCATGGTTGGATGCAATGAATGTTAATGAGTTTATATGAACAGGAAAGGACTACGGTAAAGAAAAGTAGGATAGACGGCCAGTGGAGTATCAGCAATTAATAGAGCAAAATAAGTATGTTAAAGATTTAGTGGAAACAGTGCATGGAATAGTAGTACACTTGTACTTAATTAAGTAAGTGGTCTATGTGGGTGGATTGAGGATGAATATAATTACAGTATAGGTAGTTGCTTACAGTGCATAACTGACGTATCCGTTACCAGCCACACAAGCGGCTAACGAGCCGAACAGTGGCGTAGAGGATAAGCAAAAGTAAAGTATGTGTACAGTATTTTATACTTTATCCTCTTCGCCTGTTGATCGACCTTTAGTCTTCCGCACTGTTGGGAAATAAAAGTTATTTTGATTGAAATGTCTTATTTCATAGAATGAAGTATATACCTCCCCCCCTTGTATATCTGCCATAAGGGTTATGAAATTTGACCAATACCAGATACAAAAACTTTGCAATCTGAGTTTTTTTTTTTCAATCAAAGTGGCACCCTCATATCTGAGGGTTGGCGACCTCAGTTCTCCATTTTAAACGTTTTCGGGCAGTCTTGACTAATCGTATCCAGGAAAAAGTCACAAGAAGTCAAATAAAAAAGCACGGAAAAAACCTAACCTAACTTAACTTAACCTAACCTACGTGCAATGCCATCATATATATATATATATATATATATATATATATTGTGTTGTATGTACAAATCATGTGACTTTTTTTCCTGTGGACTATATTTCCGTCCACCTTCTAATCTAAGGTCGATTTTACATATCTGGGGACTCACGGCTTTTTAATTTCATCCATTCCATGGCCCTCCTACCCTCGACTTTGCTCATTAAGCATTTGTTTGTCATTATTCATTCATGGCTTTATCCTTAGTTGTATGGCCAAGGTATCTCATTTTCCTTAATCGATAGTTTCAAGTTCTTATTTTGGTGTTTTTGCCAATCTTAGTACAGGTAGCTACGTCTTCAAATGTTTTCCTTTTCGAGCGAACAGTGAAGAGGATAAAGTAAAGTGTAACTTATTTTTAATATTCTAAATGCTAAGGATTTGATGAAATTTATACACTTACAACAAAGTTTATTGCAGCAAAACTGTAGTGTTTACATTCATTTGGGGGCATCAGGATTACCCAGGTCCCAATGACTAAAAAAGTACCCCACTTTATTTTAAAATGATGATTAAACAACCTAGGCTACCATGGGGAGGATTAGGTTAAGTAAGCATTAGGATAAATATCCTGATCAGGTGAAATAAGATGCAGTGCTTAATCTTCAATTGATCCCCTCACGACTACTTGTAAGTACAGTACTGTATGTACTTTACTGTATCTACTAAGATAAAAGCTGTCCGACTAATTACCCAAATGTACCCAATTGTAGCCGCAATTAAGTCAACTAATGGTCCTACATGAATAAATCGGACTGCCAATCACTTATCGACTAGTATTTGGTGTTACAAAGTAAAGAAAAAATTGGAAAACTTACTTTAATCTGAGTTAATAGATCGCGTGCATGTACCGAGGGAGCAAGTAATTACCCAAATGTAGTCGCAATGAAGTCAAACGATGGTCCTACAAGCGTAAATCGGGCTGTGAATCACTTCTCGATTATTATTTGGTGTCATAAAGTCACAAAAAAAATGGTAAACTTAATTTAATCTGAGTTGTGTTAGGTTTGGTTAGGTTAGGTTAGGTAGGTAAGGTAAGGTAAGGTAAGGTAAAGTACATGCACTCGATCTATTAACTCAGATTAAATTAAGTTTACCCATTTTTTGTGACTTCATGCCACCAAATACTAGTCGAGAAGTGATTGGCAGTCCGATTTATTCATGTAGGACCATTATTTGACTTAATTGCGGCTACATTTGGGTAATTAGTCGGATCCAGATAAAAGGTTTTGAAGATACATATACAGTGTTAAGCTTGGTAACAAAGAATGCAAGGGCAACATGACTTGCCTTATATGATGTTATCATTCACATTACAGTATAGTGGTTGGAGTAGAACAGCCTACTTGTGTACCGAAGACTAAGTACTATACAGTGTGCTGTATTCATATTGTCCCTAACAGGCAGTCATGCCCATGGGACCCATTTTCTTCCATGAGTATGAGGACATTTGTCAAAACTTATTTATGTATTTGTTTAGATGAAGATAAATTGGGTTGTTTATACAGCATACTACAGTACTCTGTGCACTGATTACAGATACAGTAAAACAATAAAATGTGGATTAACCGGTACAGTACGTACTTGTACTGTACAATATAGGGATTTTGAAATGAGTCATCAGCTTCTGTACATGTTATGTACAGTACACTACTTTTTTTTTCTTTTTTTTTTACGGGAATTAGCCCACCTGGGCTCAGGTCGAACGGGGGCCAAGGGGGCGAAAAAATAAGAGCAGAAACAAATTAAACATAGAGAAGAAAAAGGTTATACTGTATCTATGCCATGGAGATGCCAGAAAACCAGCTTTTTAAAGTGAGACAGAATGGTTAAACCTAGTTGGTATATAGTGTAGCTACTGAAATGACATTGCAGTACAGTACTTTTCAATTTTTTTTTTTATCCTCTTCACCACTGATCAGCTCGTTAGCCGCTTGGGCGATCGGTCACATCTCTTTTACACACTCTTGGCAAGTACTGGGCATCCACTGGCTCCTGAATGTATCTGAACCTGCTCCAGTGCTTGTCAAATCTGGTCTTGAAAGAGGTCACACTCGGTGCCATCACAACACTCAGGCAGATTGTTCCAAGAATTCACAACTCTCTCTCCGAAAAAGTTACCCCTCACAGTTTTCTGGGCTTGCGGCTTCTTCAACCCTAAGTTGTGACCCCTTGTGGGACAAGTGTCTGCCAGCTGCAAGTAAGGGCACTTGACCTCAATTAGATCCCCCCTTGCTCGTCTGTAGTATAAGCTAGGCAATTTCAGGCGCTCTAACCTCTCAGGATAGCTGAGGTGCCGAAGTGCAGGCACCAGTCTGGTGGCCCTCCTTTGGACATTTTCAATCAACTGACAGCCCCTAGCATATCTCGGGGACCAGATGGGGTAACAGTACTCCTGACGGGGAAGCACCACGCTCTTGAGGAGCTGAACGACCTTATAAGACCTAATTATTTAGTTGCCTGATTCACTTTCTCGCAATGGCCCGAGAACTTCAGCTCGTCAACATACATACCGAGGTCCTTTTCACATTGTCTCAATTCATGCAGTTTCTTCGTCCTGTTGGGACATGATATGCCTCCTTACCGTTGGTATGTCCCAAGTGCAACTTTTTACACTTCGTGACATTGAATCTTAGCAGTACTGTAATTTTGAGAAGATATAAACAAAACGACACTACTGTGCTGTGCTAATCCTGCTGTCAGACTTACTTTAACTTAAGTAAATTCCTCTTGTCACAAGGATTAAAAGCAAACAAAAGCTATTATGGAGAGAACTGGGTAGGGGTGCAAGTTTTGTAAATAATCATCCACCATTCTTGAAATTTTTGCTTTATAGTGTAGTAGAACTCTCGTCCAACCTGTCTCATTGGATAACATCAACCATCGATTTCACTTTTGGTGAGATCTGTATATTATGTGTAGCCTGGTTTCCTTAATGCTGGTCCATATTAAGACTTTTGGGAATAAATTTAATTTGCATACTGTACATTGTTATGTTAGCCTTGTGTTTTGATATTAACCTTTTAAATTGTTTTAGTGCTCGCACTGAGGGATGGTAGATGATAAGTTTATCTAGAAGCAAAAATTTCAAAGAGTGGTGGTACCAAGTCATCCTGTACATTTACTGGTCACTCGCCTCCTGTTCCAAGGCACTCCCAGTTCAGCCAGCTGTAAATGGGTACAGTACCTAAGTTTAACTTGGGGCAGTGAATGCGGTCGAGTGCAGTACCGGCCATGCTGTCCCTAACGGGCTGTTATGCCTATGGGACCCACTTTCACTGTACTGTACTGTAATGGTATTACTAATTGCAAACATATTTCTAGAAATAACTTATCAATGGTCTTACTAAAAAAAAAAAGAAAAAAAAAGAATTGACTGCACAAATGTTTTGTGGACACAATTTATTATCTTGAAAGACTAGATTAAGTGATAAAGCAATCAAGGGACCAGTTTTTTATATTACCGGAAATAAATTGTATAGCACATAAGATATTCAAGAACATTGCTCACTTTTAAATTTTAATTAATGTCCAGTGAATAATTTATTCTTTACTATATTACCCCATTGTGTTTTACCTCAGGATGCAAACATTACATGGAATACAGAAAATCCAGACTTCACCCTATGCTTTGAGCAGACTGTTCTGGTGTGGGTGCCTTGTGGTTTCCTGTGGTTGTTTGCTCCGCTAGAAGTACACTACCTCCGCCATAGTGTGGACAGACTGGTGCCATGGAGCTGGGTCAATGTATCCAAGTTGGTTAGTGAAGTATTAGCATATCAGTGTCTTATATTTACAATCTGTTTTTATGGTGTGTAAATTCCCTTTGAGATCCATGATTTGTGCAGAAGAGAGAAGATAGTGGATTTGATTACGTTTATGTTATTAAAAAATATTATACAATAATATATTTAATGATATATCAGGTAGTTCTTGTTTTATTTATTTTTAATAAACACCATACTGTAGTTGATTAAAAAGAGTAATGAAATAAGATTAATTTTGAAATCCCATTATTCATTTGAGTCCAGAAGGAGGTGAGTTTTTACCTTTAGCCAAGAGGTCAGGGTAGTCAACCAAGGTTAACTTGAGACATCATAGAAAGGGACACATTCATGAATCAGTTAGCTACACTGAAGCACCACAAGCAAGTCCCTAAATTGGCTCCAATACTAAAAGCTTATCATTTAAGGTGTGGAATATTGGGATTGTCAGTCCACCCATTCAGTTCCAGTTGCCATCCATGCTACTCAGTGGTAACAGTGAGGGAAGGCCCTGAGTTTCCTTGTTTTGGATGCAATAGTAAAAAAAAGTCAATGTAAAGAGCAGAGATTTTCAATAAAGTTTGATATAACTTAGATTAATTCAATATGAAATACAAGTACATATATTCAGTGTAAATTGACATCAATAAAAAGGTGTTGTTCTAATTATACAGGTATAGTTTTTGCAGGGAGTGTGTTGAGCACAATTTTTATTGTAATGAAGTCATGCATATGAATTACTTGCAGGTGATATCATTGCTGATACTGATTCTGCAGTGTATCAGTTTCTTCTACACTATTCAACAGCACAGTACGGGGAACTCAGTTGCAGATGTATACTATGTGACTCCCTGCATAATCTTTGCTTCTGTAGTAAGTACTGTATGCGGTATTTATTATAATAAATTTCATGTTGAAAAAGTAGAATGACCTCCTCAAAATGCCATCCACCCACCATTATCTTTACACATAATTTTCTAATAAATCCCAAGTTTTAAATCTCTCTCACCTGAACTCCATTCTGTTCTGTGGTTAAAGAGCCATGAAAGTACATTACATTTTGTATTTTTTATCAACATAGTTTGGTATGATGAATATTGATCATAGTGCAGTGCTTTGCTGTATACTGTACTGCACTGTAGTCTTTAGAAACCATTTGTCTGTAAAACTCCATGACTGAAAACAAGACCAGATCCTCGAAGATGTTTCTGGACAGTGTTAGAGTAATTCCCCAACATAGATTCAAAGATCAGTGATGTTTTTTGAGACTTGGTATCTTTTCTTTGCAGTTACTTCAACTTATATTTGTGATGTTGGATAAGAAGTATGGAATCCAAAGTTCAGGATACCTCTTTATCTTCTGGTTACTCCTGATGGTGTTTGCCATCCCAGAATTCTACACAAATATCAATAATGTAAGTACAGTGACCCTCGGTTAACGAACTCAATCCGTTCCAGAAGGTCGTTCGTTAACCGAAAAGTTCGTTAACCGAAACCATTGTTTCAATGGGTTTTTGGGTAATTGGTTCCAGCTCACCGAAAATTTCCTAAATTCAACAAAAATGGTAGAAAAGTTCACTTACTTTGAGGTGTGTATGTAGAAGGCTCCTGGATGATGATGATGATGATGGGAATTACAATGGGGGTGGAGGAGAAGGAAGAAGAGAAGGCATTGGGGTGGAAGAGAAGTCACCCCATGGCACCATTTCACCCATAAAATTTTAGTTCTCTTGGTGTATTTCAAGATTATTTTCTTTAAATCAACACTGTACTGCATTATATATTGTCAATATGTAAAATATATTTCAAAATGACCAATAATTTGCTTGGAAACACAGAAAAAAGCGTTTAGTTGAAGAGAGTCTCAAGCAAGATGTTACCTCCAGTGAAAACAGAGAGACTAACGCCTGTTTGCTGTGTTAAGAGGCTGGATGCTGCGCTTTAAACTAGTCACTTTACCTTCAATTATGTTCAATAATTGTTAAAATGACTAAAAAATTGAATATTAAACTTTTAAAATTATTGAATAGTATAAACTTCTTGATATTTACTAAAATAGTTAGGAATTTAAGCCCTAGAACCGATTAATGTATTGGCGGACTGATACTAAGCTGGTTGCCCGGCCAGTGCAAGCGAAAACATGTTGAGGTCGGTTCGTAAGAAATTCGTTAAGAATTTTTGTTCGTTAACCGAATTGAAGATCCTTATGGAAGGCAGTTCGTTAACCGAAATTTCGTTAACCGAGGCGTTCGGGTCACTGTACTGTATTAGGTACCCCTTATTTATCTTTTTTTTTTTTTTAGATAACTAATTTTTCAGCATGTTTTAAGTGAAAAATCAATTGACTAGCTGCTTTATCTTAGGAACTTGTGTCTTAAATGACTTTTTTTTCCTAGGATTTCTCATGGTGGTAACTAGTGATTTTTTTTTCTGTTTTCTTATTTATCCATTTGAGTAAACCAGATTGACGCAGAATTTGAGGCTTTATGTAAGGGGAAATCACTAACAGAATGCATCTGTTATAGCAATAGAAATGAAATAAATGGAAGGAGGGTCTGTGTGTGTGTGTGCGCTACTAAAACCAGCCACCTTGCACTATCAGGGATTGCATGAAAAACAGAGTGTTAATTTAATTATTCCCCATTACAGGTACAGTACAGTGGTCCCTCGGATAACGAACGGTTCAATTAACAAAATTTCGGTTAAACGAATTAGTTCCAATAAGGATCTTTAATTCGGTTAACGAACAAAACTTCGATTAACAAAATCCTTACGACAAACACGTTTTGTTGTGCGCATCAGCTAATCAACTGATCGGCTAGTCCGCCAATACAGTAATCGGTTCTGTGTTTACATTCGTTTTCAGTGGAGTAAATATCAAGAAGGTTGTGGTCTTTAATATTTTTGCATTTTTATATTAAAATTATTTGTCATTTTAAAATTTAGTTAACATATTGATAATATATGCAGTACAGGGAACTAGTTTTTTTGTGCGCCCATCAGCCGCTTGACTCACCCGCCAAAGCGTCAGTTTAACTTTGTTTACAGTGGAGGAAACATCGTTTTTGTCGCTCTCTTGAATACAGAGTATTTTTACGTGTTTACATTAAAATTATTGGTCATTCGGAAATTTAGTTAACATATTGATAATATATAGCGCAGTGCAGTGTTGATTTAAATAAAATAATCTTTAATTACAGCGACTGAACCTAAAATTTTATTGGTGAAATTAATGTACCGTACTGCATCAAGCATGGGTCCAAAGAAATCTAGAAAGGCAATTTCAATTCAAGTGAAACAGGAAATTATTAAGAAACATGAAGAAGGCATTAGAACCAATGTACTGAGTAAAGAATATGGCATGTCACCATCAACTGTGTCTACAATTATTGCTTCCAAGAAGCATTAGAATGCTTCTCTTCTCCCTTCTCCTCCACCCCCACTTCCTTCTCTTCTCCCTTCTCCTCCACCCCCACTTCTAATTCCCATCATCACCATCAACCAGGAACCTTCTACATACACACCTCAAAGTAAGTGTACTTTACTGCATTTTGTTTATACTTTGTATGTACTTTTCTGTGAGCTGGAACCAATTACCCAATATTCCATTGAAATAATGGATTTGGTTAACAAAATTTTCAGTTAACGAACGACTCTGTGGAACGAATTGTGTTCGTTAACTGAGGGACCACTGTATATGCATCTTTTGCGTGAAGATAATGTTTTGATTGTTTTGTCTGTCATGTCTACACCCCTCTCATATTTATGTTTGGTGGAAAAGGTTAAAATTTAAGTAGAAGTATCTACACCTATTAGGTTGTATGCATAAATAATTATTATTCATATTTTCTTTTATTTATCGTTCATACTGTACTTACTGCAGTAGAACATGACATGTAACTGAGATAATTTTAGTTTAATTTATTTTTTATTTCAGGGGGAAAATGTAAATGTTATCAGATTTGTGGTATACTCCGTGTACTTCCCACTGACAATTTTGATGTTCTTGCTGAATTGCTTTGGTGATGCTACCCCAGAGTATATCGACTATCCACTAGGAGATGTAAGTTAATCATCAAAAATTTATCTCGCTTGTTACTTATAATAACCAATCTTGAGGATGAACTATCTCAATAATTTACTACTCTAATGGTTGAAGAAGAACAGTGTAATGGCAAGGGCTATGTCTATATATGGTTATCCTTTATTAATAATATATAACAATTATGTAAATTATTCATTTTTACACATCCATGTTAAACCTCATACCAGGTACAGTCTCGTTCACGATTCTTCGAACACTGCTGGAGACAGCTGGCAACTCAAGGCCGTTTGTTTATTATAGTATGTAGTAAAAATTTTGAATACATCTAAAAGTGATCGGTGATTGGTTACTTTGTTCCCCGTTGCTTAATTTAATGGTTGGGCTTTATTGTTTCGTATTATATTATACTACGCACTAGAGTAAACAAACGGCCTTGAGTTGCCAGCTGTCTCCAGCAGTGTTCGAAGAATCTTGAACGAGACTGTACATGTATATAAGAAAGTGATGTCAATCCTTTTCTTTTTTTTATAAATACAGTATAAACCTCATAATGTATTGAAGATATTAAACATATATTTATCAAATTCTATGATTTTAGTTTCATACATAGGTGTTTTTTTTTTTATGGTGGTGTATAGTAACCTACACAGGCTAACCTATTTATATACTGTACCTTATTTTGATGTTTTTTTCAGACACCACAAGCAGGAAGCCAAATTAGAAAAAGAGTTGCATTTTTTTGTGGCTTCATCTTAGGTGAACCTTAGATGATAATTCATATCTGTAGATGGTTTGATGGGAATGTGTTTGTATAGTGCTACTGGAGAATATTAGTACCTATGTAGCCCATGTATGGGAAGTGCAGTAATCTTATTTCCCTATTTACTGGGTATTTATATTTACATATGAGTCTGTATTGATTTTGATGAGCATGTTTTTATTAAATCAGTGTATTCATAGGAACATAAAGTCTTTCATACTTTTTAAATTAATTTCATGTGGATTTGAGTTAATACCCCTCATTAGAAAGTTCATTTTTGAAAGCTGATTATAAGTCTTTAACTTGCTATTTATACTCAACAGAAACCAAGTCCAGAGACCAGTGCATCTTTCTTAAGTCGTGTGACCTTTGCTTGGATGGACCCCTTGATATGGAAAGGATACAGAAAGCCTTTAGTACAAGCAGATACATGGGATCTGGCACGGGAAAATGCATCACGTAACACTGTTGCAAAGTGGGACAAAAACTGGAAGAAAACTTTAAAAAAGGCCAAAAAGTAAGTTTATGATTATTATTTTCACTTAGGGTCCTCTCATACTACGTATAAGAAGTTGTCCTTCATAATGACAAATATACTGTATGGTATTCCTATTCTTGTGATGGATAGAAATGGCATATACATTAACAGGATTTTAGTAAACTGATGCTAGAACTCTGGTCTGCTCAATAGAATACGCAATTCTGAAGCATGGGCTACCTACTCAAACAATGCTGTCCATGTGGAGGTGCCAAAAGGTGAAGGCAAAAGGCAGCAGAAGATATCTATATTGCCCACCATGGTACGTACATTTGGTCCAACTTTCTTCTTCGGGGCCGTCCTCAAGGTCATGTATGATGTCCTACAGTTTGTCAGCCCACAGATCCTCGGGTGAGTGTTATTTTATAGTTAAAAAACTCTTCTTCTTCTTGTTTATTAATAGTTACATTGAATTTAATTTTAGTTTTGAATTAAATGTTGTGTGTGTACTGTATGTGTGGTATCAGTTTCTCTTTTACCACTCGTTACATAGGAAATACTGTTTTATTACTCATGAGAACTACAGTCTACTATATTGGAAATTTTTTCTGGATTTTGCTACTTCAAAGGCACCACATTCATACTCATAGTTAATTCTCAGTGTACTAAATCATCATTATTCTTAAAAAAAAAAATCTTTTTCAGCCTACTAATTTCGTTTTCTGAAAGTACTGAAGAAGATGACCCACAGTGGCGTGGTTTCCTCTATGCTGCTGTAATGTTGGTGTGTGCACAACTGCAGTCCTTTATCCTTGGCCAGTACTTCATGAAGATGTTCTTGGCTGGTCTTCAGATTCGTACTGGAGTAATTTCTGCCGTTTACCGCAAGGTAAGTAGACTTGATTTTAGTCATTTGATAATGATAGTCTATAATAGATACACATCTGTTCAGGAGCCTTTGGTATAAACACCTTCAGTTTCATCAGCATTGTCTGTCATCTTTTTAAAAAGTTTAATTTGTTGTGGTAAAATTGTTGTACAATCTTTTTTGGTTTAAATAAAAAATGACATTATAACATAATTTCTGTATTTTAAAAGTTAATGGAAGATTATGTTTTCAGGCCTTACGAATCTCAAATTCAGCCAAAAAAAACTCAACAGTTGGAGAGATTGTCAATTTAATGGCAGTAGATGCCCAACGATTTATGGATCTCACAACTTACATCAACATGCTATGGTCGGCACCACTCCAGATTGCACTTGCCCTATACTTTTTGTGGCAGATCCTAGGTAAATATCCTTTCCTTTTCAATTGTTTTGAGAGTGATCAATGTTAAGCTTAATCTGGTGTTGATTGTGAAAATATTACATACTCTCACCATTGTTTTTATATAGAATGACATACACATACTATATATGTTGACTGAAAAGTACAGTACATAAAAGAAACCAAAGCAAGATTTTTATATGTCTTCCATTTTGCATCCACTCCTTTGTGTTTGAGAATGCAGTATAAACATCACTTTATTGTAGTTTTTAATATTATTACACATTTTTTCCCACTGTACAGTATGGTGAATAAGCAGGATCATGAAAGAATGTGTTTTCGAAGTTTACATCGCTGGAATAGGAATGTTATCAAGAAAATCTTTATAAAAGTAAAAATATGATTGCTACATTTCTTATCCTGAAAGAGGTTAATAATACAAGTCAACGGGGAAAGATTATTATATAACATACCTTGAAAAGTTAATTTTTTTTAGGAGAGCAGCTAGAGCCTGGTTAAGAACCCCTATAGAAATAAATATGCATCGGAAATAATTTTTGACTGTGTGACGGAGAGAAGACAAGGTTGGAATAAGAAAGGGAATGTTAGGATATAATAGGCATTTGGAGAAACTATGCATGGGATGATTAAAAAGGAAATTGTGTATGGTTTATAGTATAAGTGAAGGAGAAGAAAAAGGAGGGAAGAGGCAGTGAGTGAGATAGAAGAATGAAGTGAAAGAGTATATATTTGAGGATGGGGCACAGGGATGGGGATGATAATGAAGGAGGGCCTGGAGAATATAAAAAACATTGAATGGTGATGGTTTTTTGAGTGAAACAATGAGGTTAAACTAAATATATATCCTGGTCTTTAATGCAAGGGGAACACTGGAGTAAAGCACATCTCTATAGCATTTAGGGAGAGAGAATGATAGTATATAAGTGAGAGAGTTAGTGATGTTCTCGGTTTGGATCATCAGTGCTCAAGTGGACAAGAGGTTAAAAGAGTTAGAGTTAGAGAGAAATGTATTTATTCCTTCTTTTAACCAGGGCCATCTGTGCTTGCTGGACTTGCTGTAATGATAGTGTTGATCCCAGTGAATGGTGTCATTGCCAATCAGATCAAACACTTGCAGATAAAACAAATGAAGAACAAGGATCAGCGTGTGAAATTAATGAATGAAATTCTCAATGGAATCAAGGTCAGTCTTAACAACTCTGGATGGACTTGTTTGAAATTTAACATGCATCATCATTAGCAATCAAAGTTGTGCAGTTTTTATTTTGTGTGTCAGGGAAAGAGCTTTGAGTTAAATGACAAGTTTACTGTTGTTAAAAACTGGCTGAGGGGTCTACCTGTACAACAAAGTTAAACTTTTCAGGTGTTGAAGTTGTATGCTTGGGAGCCATCTTTTGAGGAGCAAGTGTTGGATGTACGATCTACGGAAGTAAATGTACTGAAAAAGTCGGCCTATCTTAATGCTAGTACTGCCTTCATCTGGACCTGTACCCCATTTATGGTAAGTTTTTTTTCTTTCTTTTGCCAAATTTTCAACAAGTTCTTTATATTTTCAAGGAAAGAAATATAATGGAAGATATTTTCTATGCACAGTATATTTCATATATAATGGTCTCTAGGTTTGGACATACTTTTAAGGATGATGCTGGGTGGAATGAAGTAAATGGGGTAAACCAAGTAGATAACTTGATATCTTGTTGTGGAAGAGGAACACCAAATTAGAACACATTTGTCACAACAGGTAGGGTATGAATGACAGCACTGCCCTTCATTCTGGACACCCTGAATTATAATGGGACTGGACTTTCAAGACTTACAAAAATCATTCATTAGAAATTAGTTGCTCCCAATAACTCAGGTTATATAGTAATATACCAAGTATAATTAAGGTTTATAAATAAATGTTTTCTCAATGAAGTACAGGGTATACCTTTTGAGATAGATCTACAAAGGAGTTACCATATAGGTGTAATTTTCCATAAGTCTTAATCAGCAAAATATAATACAGGGTTTGAATACTGTACCACCGAGTCACATCTAGATGAAATATGCTTATTTTTTTATATTAAAATAAATATTTTGTTATTCCAGCAAACAGTATCTTCCTGATTTTCTGTGGCCTCCCCCAAAAATCATCCATAAGGAGAATGAGTTACTGTATATGGGAGGAAAGAAATTGGCTCAAAATTTTTTGGGGGGGTTTTGTACATTACTCACTAATCTTTTGTTAATAATCCATTTTCCAGGTGACACTGGTTATGTTTGCAACGTATGTATTGTCAGACCCAAGTCACATTCTGACAGCAGAGAAAATCTTTACTTCCCTCTCTCTCTTAAATATACTACGGATGCCCATGACTATGTTACCATTCCTCATAGTGGCTATAGTGCAGGTATTCTTGTTAATATCTTTAAAGCTTATAGCCAGAATGAAAACAGGTTATAACTATGTGGTGCAAATTGTCCTTGGGATAAAATGAAAATTGATATATGGTCCAAAACGTCAAGAATATAATGTGTACTGTACTTATGTCTAGAGGGCTTGCCTTGTCTTCTCGAAATTCTTACATATGGGTCACGTTTATTGAAATACGAAATAATTGATGAGTTGGGCAGTAGTAATACATACTGTACAATTTTTTTTTATCGTGATCATATATTTTGAATTTTTAAGAAGATTCTCTGTGTATGTGGTGTTGAATTTGCCAGTGTGTTTCTCTTCTCTGCTGTGATTATCTTGCAAGTGTTGGGTTATATGTTGTTTCTTGATTTTTTATGAAATATCTCTTCATTACACATGTATTTTTGAGAACTTATCTATCATGTTAACCGAGGCATAACCAGTACAGATACAGTACATTGTTAAGGTTCTACCGTAAAAACATGTACTTCCTCAAGAGGCCCTGGTGGATCTGGAGTTGGTGCATAGTGATGGAACAATAGTGTAAAATCAGAATATGTCGTGCAAACATGTGTTAACTGAAGAAATACCTGCATAACTCTTACACACTTCAGCTTAATTAATCATACCCTGAGGATCTGTTTTGTGGAGCTTCCTTTCATGCATTAAATTGTTATCAACATATAGGCCTAATCTTATGCAGCTGAAAACTTTGTCACCATGCCCATATACTGTATCAATTTATTATATATTGAGTACAGTACACACAGTTGTACAGGGTTATGTTCCTGAATGATGTGTGTATAATTGATGCCATGAATAATTTACCATTTATTCTGATGGGAAAATGGATTAATCTCTGGCTGGTCAGTTTGGGAGAAATTTCATTATTAAAATCTTAAGTACTCATACTGTATATAATTTAATCAAATAATAATAATAACACAATTATGTATACTGTATACAGTATAGTCTCGTTTTACGCGGTCAATTAAACCCATGAAGGTCCGCGTATAACGTGAAACGCGTAAACGAAATAACAGAACGTATGGGATTAATTGACTACCCTTTTTCCGACACAATACGTACGTTGTAGTAAATATAACATCTTAATTTTATGATGGTATGCACACACAATTAATATATAAGAGAAATATCAATAATATTAGGTTTTTTAACACTTACGTTAGTAAAAGAGATGGCTGGACACACGGGGATGTGGGGGGCTGGTTCCGGGACAGAGGGCAGATTACTGGCCCTCATGTGTATCACTTGTATCACCTGTATCACTATCCACCACAGAGGCTAGCAGGGCCTCGGCGTCAAACCCCTCAAAGTCCATATCCTCACTATCACTGACTTGGGCTGGCTGTGGCTGTGGTGGGTTGTGGATGAAGAACTCGGTAATGTTTCGTTGACGGCTAGCATTGATGTGGTCGTGATACATTTGGGCATACGGCTCCATAGATTTCAACAGAAGGTTACTTGACACTTCATAGCAATGATTGACTGGGTCTTTGGCAAGGATGAGCTTGATTTTCTCAGCAACTCGATGACCTCCTTCACATCACCATGTGTTAGTTTCTGTTCTTGTTCTTCCGTAACACCTGGCTGTTCACTGACGTCATCATCTTCCAACTCTCGTCTGCAGTCACCTCAGGTTGCCTGATTACCTCCAGGATGTCGTCGTTGGTGGTCTCGGAGAAGCCTGCAGCTCTAACACTTTGTGCAGCCTCTCTTGCAATGTCCAAAGCCACAGCAACAAACTGAGCCTCACCAGCCACCACTTGACTCTGCCTCCCACCTGGGATACCCTCCAACACATGCCACCACGCGTGACGAATCGTTGCCGCAGACCACTGCCCCCATGCCTCCACCAAGAAATCAACAGCTTTCTTGACGTTAAACATTTTCCAGAACTGCTCGACTCGCACTTCATGGTCCGCCAAATCTTGTTCTGGATCCTCGCTCTCGCTATCAGTGCCACTCAGAAGGTTCTGCAATTCATCCTTGGTGTTGGTGAAGTCGTTCAGGTGCCGAAACTTCTTTGCGGCGAAAGCAGCCTTGATTGTTGCATATCAACTCCTGATCCATGGGCTGGATTAACGATGTAGTGTTAGGGGGAAGGAAGACCACTTTTACATTGGGGTGATGATCCAGCAATAGGGGCGAGTGTCCTGGTGCGTTGTCAAGGACCAACAAAATGTTGAATGGAACATTATGTTGCTCGCAGAATTTCTTCACATCAGGAACGAAACAGTTGTCAAACCAGGAGAAGGACAGACCAGTGAACATCCACGCCTTCCCTGAGGTTAGCCAATGGATATTTAACTTGCTCATGTCCATATTTTTGTAGGCATGCGGCTTGCGGGCTTTGTGGATCACAGACAACTTCAGCTTACAAGTGCCGGAGACATTGGTGGTGAACAGGACGGTGATGCGCTCCTTCTGCAACTTCCGGCTCCGACACTTGCTCGTAGACTTGACTACGAAGGTCTTGGATGGCAATTTCTTCCAAAACAACCCGGATTCATCCATGTTGAACACTTGGTCGTCGGTGTACTGTCCTTCCTCCATAATTTCTCGTAAGAATGGGGGAAAATTCATGGCGGCAGCCCGGTCAGCACTTGCTCCTTCACCAACAATTTCAACGTTCATGATCTTATTACGATGTTTGAAACCTTACAGCCACCCAGCGGAAGCAGTGAAGGGTTTGGGCTCTGCAACTCCCATTTTTCTTGCCACTGATAGGTACAGTTCTCTCGCGTAGTCCTGCACTGCCCGCATGTCGACCGCCACGTTCCTTCTTGACTGACAAATCAAGCACCTGACCAATAAACCTTCAGTCTTGAGCAGCACCTTATTGTGGCAATATCTCACCATCGACGCACCTGCAGACTTTGTGATGCTCGTGTGTTCTTTGATCTTGCCGGCATCCTTCTTGATGGTGCAGATCGTCGATTCATTAACTTCATATTGTCGGGCGAGATCCACCTATCTTGTACCTTTCTCTAACTCCTGGATGATTTTGTACTTCACTTGGGCTTTGGGCGGCTTGGGCCAAGTAGTTCAAGGTTTCTCGGGGGTGGTGGGGGTCCAGCGGAAGCCATTGTTGAGCAGATTAGCGGGCACAAGGGAGCACTGTATACGCAGAGACGGAGGACAATGGGACTGACGCTTCTAAGGTCAGCGACTTATTCCCTCTGGTGGCAGGGCATGCCACGTTAAATTAGACCAATCACAGCTCGCGGCGGAGGGGGTGCGTGGGTGGTAAGGATGCGTGGCCCAATCACAGTCCGAAACGTCATCTGACGTCAGCGGTGACGTAAGAGCGACCTAGCGCGCAGCTTGTCCGCACCGCTTCCTGCGTAAATTCAGGAATGTACTGCGTAACTAATAATTGGCGCGTCTGGACAGGTGCCGCGTAAATGACCAACCTCGTAAGGAAATTCCACGTAAACCAAGACTATACTGTACAGTAAAGACCATATTTTGCTCTACAGGTACAGTACTGTACTGTATTTCCTTCAAACTCATTAACCCTGAGTGAAAAATTATACCTGTACTCTTAATTGTTAATGATGGGACCCCATAATCAAGAGACAGTGAAAGCTAAAGCTAATTACTCACTGGGGTTCAACGCATAACCAATCCGCTCCAGCTGTTATGGTAAATTTTTTAAATTTGATTTCTTATTTTTGTAATTCCAATTCTGTGTAGAAATTCACTGTAAAAAAAAAAGCCAAACGCATGAATGCCTCAGTGTATGTTTGCTGGTGTCAGGCAGGGTGGATATGGCAGCAGAATATGAGGGGGTAAGGAGATGTCTGGCAGCAGTGTAACAGGAGGAGGGAAGAGGGGGAAAGGATGCAGGTAGTCCACCAACACAAACCAGCTGCCTGATTCTTTTAAGTAAGCATCTCCAATTTACTTATCTTGTTATTATTTCCATTTTATAATGGAAGTTAAGTGTGAAGTAGAGGACCAGAAGAATAAGAGTCTCAACCGGAGTTCCTTTCATTTTGAAAGGAGGGAATATTTCTCAAGCTCTGAGGAGTGTCCAATCATTAACAACAGTAGTTATATATGATTTGGTCCACAGTTTTATTTTGTCTGGCTGTTTATTCTGCTTTCTTCTTATGATTGGTTTGTCATTCTATAATACTGTGTTTGTCATATCAGATTATCTGGAACACTCACTGATATTGTTATACTGTATTGATCCTAACTCTTTTTATTATTGATAAACAATGTGTGAACCCTAAACACTTGAATAATTAGGAGTAATTAGAATGTTTGTGGTATAATGGAAGAGTGCGTACCTCTTTCCATCTCTGTCCCAGGTTCGATTCTGGGTCATATAAGAAAAGGGTGATGTCCTGTGTGATCCTGTCAGACAGACATTCACTAGCATGTGAGTGGGGAGTCTGCCATTTCGTATGAACTTTCAGTACTGTACTTTGCAAAGTCGATGACTCCAGCTTAAGTATGATTGAGAGGCATGCTGAGAAGACAGTCCAAACAGCTGTGCATTGTTTTGTTGTGCAGTATATACAGTAACTTGTATGAATTTAGTGCACATACTTTCTATGTATTTGTGAGTAAGAGTGTACGTATTTGAGGAAAGGGGGGATCAGTGTTAGGAACATAACTCCACTTTTACTACATAAAACTGGTTAATTTTGCACTTTTGCTTTACTTTTTATTTTTAGGAACAGAATGTCATATATAGATACAGACACACTCAGATGCACATATACAGTATTATTATTATTATTACCTGTATTATTATTATACTTTATTTTTAATATTATCATTATACTTTACTTTTAATATTTTATTATTTTATTATTATACTTTATTTGCTTTTAATTACAGGTTGTCTTTGCCTCCCTTACTACACATGTACTAATTGACAGAGCAAATGCCTTGACTGCAGAAAAAATATTTGTTTCTATTGCTTTGTTAAACATTATTCGTGTCCCCTTGGGG